ATGAAACCCAAGCTTGGCCATATTCAGATGGTAAAAGAACAGACGTTCCAGCAATGGACAAAAAGAGGGCAAAACCTGCCCAAACAAGAGCCCCAGTGTAGTCCTTGGTGCCTGAGAAGTCCTATAGACCTTTAAATAGTGATGTTTTGGCGCCAAAACGTCAAACAGGAAGTAATGTGAGCACATGGGACGACGCACGGTGATGACGTCATGATGTCCTGGGCCAGAGCCCCCCCCCCCCATTTTGTTACTTATAGATTTATACTATGTTTTTTTCGGCTTTATTCTGCATGTTTCTATTTTGACTGACCAATTGGTCTCTCTTACCACTTACGTGTTTTTTTTTTTTTTTTTTATTTTTATTTTATAAAATTACAATAAAACATGTTCTATTTTATCTAGTGTTTTCATGTTGTGCATCTCTATACTTTCAAATGGTATGGTGCTTTAAAAGACCCATTAGTTTTTTTCTCTGTTAGGGTTTTTATATTTGTCTGAATATTTGTATGAGCCCAATAGAGTTCTCATATTGAACTGTCAGGTAGCTTTGACTTTCTGGTAGCTCCTAAAAACTAAAATCTGTTTTAGGTGTATGGACCCTTTCAGCTCCCTTTTTCGGGTGGCTCCTTTCTCTTGTGGGTTCCTATGGAGCCACACTTTCTTGCAAGCTCCTAGGAGAGAGACACCAGGCCTACATTAGGACCCTTCCTGAATCAACCTGCACAGACAGCCAGGAAATACTGAATGGGGTCTACAGTTGCATGAAAAAGTATGTGAACCCCTTGGGATTACGTGGAGTTTTGCATGAATTGGGCATAAAATGTGCTCTGAACGACATCTAAGTCACAACAATAGAAGAACACAGTCTGCTGAACATAATACTACACAAACATTAGATGTTGCCATGGTTTAATTGCACATAACATGTAAACATTCACAGTGCAGGGAGGAAAAAGTATGTGAACCTTTGGACTTAATAACTGGTTGACCCTCCTTTGGCAGCAATAACCTCAACCAAATGTTTCCTGTAGTTGCAGATCAGACCTGCACAACGATCTGGAGTCATTTTGGACCACTCCTCTTCACAAAACTGATTCAGTGTAGCAATATTCTTGGGATGTCTGGTGTGAATCGCTCTCTTAAGGTCATGCCACAGCATTTCAATCGGGTTGAGGTCAGGACTCTGACTGGGCCACTCCAGAAGGCGTATTCTGTGCTGTTGCAGCCATTGTTTTGTTGAATTACTTGTATGCTTTGGGTCATTGTCCTGTTGCATCACCCATCCTCTGCGGAGCTTCAGTTGGCGGACAGATGGTCGTACGTTTTTCTGCAAAATGTCTTGATAAACTCTGGAATTCGTTTTCCCATCAATGACAACAATCCGTCCAGGCCCTGAGGCAGCAAAGCAGCCCCAAACCATGATGCTCCCTCCACCATGTTTTACAGTGGGGATGAGGTTTTGATGTTGGTGTGCTGGGCCTTTTTTTCTCCACACATAGTGTTGTGTGTTCTTCCCAAACAACTCAATCTTGGTTTCATCTGTCCACAGTATATTTTGCCAGTAGTGCTGTGGAACATCCAGGTGCTCTTTTGCAAACTTCAAACGTGCTGCAATATTCTTTTTGGACAGCAATGGCTTCCTCCGTGGTGTCCTCCCATGTACTCCATTTTTGTTTAATGTTTTCCTTATTGTAGATGTGTCAACAAAAATGTTAGCATGTGCCAGAGATTTCTGTAGGTCTTTAGCTGACACTCTGGGATTCTTCTTTACCTCATGCAGCATTCTGCGCGGTGCTCTTGCAGTCATTTTTACAGGACGACCACACCTAGGGAGAGTAGCAACAGTGCTAAACTTTCTCCATTTGTAGACAGTCTGTCTTACCGTGGACACATGAACATCAAGGCTTTTGGAGATACTTTTGTAACCCTTTCCAGCTTCATGCAAGTCAACAATTCTTGATCGTAGGTCTTCTGAGAGCTCTTTTCTGCGAGACATGGTTCACATCAGACAGTGCTTCTTGAAACCAGTAAACCAAAAACAGGTGTGTGTTTTTTAAGGGCAGGACAGCTGTCAGCAACACATCCAATATCATCACACTGATTGGAGTCAAGGTTGGCTCACTCCTGGCTCCAATTATCTCTGGGAGAAGTCATTTAGCTAGGGCCTCACATACTTTTTCCTCCCTGCACTGTGAATGTTTACATGTTATGTGCAATTAAACCATGGCAACATCTAATGTTTGTGTAGTATTATGTTCAGCAGACTGTGTTCTTCTATTGTTGTGACTTAGATGATGTTCAGAGCACATTTTATGACCAATTCATGCAAAACTCCACGTAATCCCAAGGGGTTCACATACTTTTTCTTGCAACTGTACATGTGCAATAGTGTTTGGCATCATGGGACTTGTAGTCCCAAGGAGGGGATCAGGGAGGTTTAAATGAAATTGTAATTGCGTTCTCTCTGACCAGAAGTTCAGGGAAGTAGCACTGAGCAACGCAGAGGCTATGCTTGTAAACACAGTAGATAGTGTCTCTGTATTTGTATAGTATTCACTCGTCTGGCATACATACATCTAATTCTGCAAAACATTATTAGAACCTTTGGCATTATTAGAACCTCTGTCAGGGTTTTATTGCTGTCCATGTTTCTGTTGGGAAACCAGAACTGTCTTTGCGACCATTGACACCCAGACCAAGTCCTGGTTCACACCTATACGTTTTTCAGTCCGTTTTCAATTTTGCTGAAACGCACTACAGTTCATTTCAAGCGGAGCTCCACCCAAAAGGGGAAGTTCCGCTTTAAGACTTTGTCCTCCGCTCCCCACTGAGTATTGGCACTTTTTTGGGGAGGGGGTACCTGAATTTGACAGGTACCCGCTCCCACTTCTGCAGCAATCGCCTAGGCCAAGGGTCTCCAAACTTTTCAAAGGGCCGGTTTACTGTCCTTCAAACTTTAGGAGGGCTGGATTATGATCCGTGGGGGTAGAGAATGTCTTGGGCTTAACATCAGTGAAAATAAACATGGGGTACTATTCCTCCCGTTAATACCCATCATTGGTATCAGTGTAAGACACTTTTGTGTCAGTGGGAGGAATAGTACCTCATATCACTGGGAGGAATAGTGCCCCAAGGGCCAGATAAAAGCTAGCAAAGGGCCACATCCGGCCCTCGGATTTGGAGACCCCTGGCCTAGGCGATCAGAAGTGGAGGTTGTCCTCCCCGTAATCTTCTGGAACACGTGACAGGTCCCAGAAGATTACGGGACCATTCACAACGCGCAGAACTACTTGCGCATGCACAGGGAGCACCCGGCTGTGAAGCCCGCAAGCTGTCACAGCTGGGTGCCCATACTAAAGATGCCGGCGCCGAGGAGACAAGACAGTCAGTCAACGTAGCTGGTGTGAGGACACCGCGGGATCCAGGGACAGGTGACTGTCCATTTTTTAAGTTAGCAGCTACAGTTTTTGTAGCTGCTGACTTTTTTTTTTTAATTCCTACCAACCTTCACTTTAACGTGGTTTCTTATGGGCATGTTCACATTCTCTGTGTTTTCCAACAATGTGTCTTTTGGAAAGGCTCAGGGACTTTTTATCCTGCAGTAGGATGCATTTTTGGTTCCATAGACTTCAATGGAAATGCAGCGGAACCACATCAAAAACTGAGCGCTTGCGTTTGTGATGCATTTTTGCTGGTTTCTTCCACATGCCAATAGACTCATCCCAAAAATGCACCTGGAAAACACATCAACTGCAACCTGCATAGCCATGAACCAGGCCTAAAAGTGTAGGAAAATGTACAATTTTGAGTTGCCACTAGAACAGGAATAGCAAAGAAATTCTTCATTCGGGAAGAGCTGTTCTGGTGACGACTGCCTAAGGTCCCATCCACACTAATGCGATTTCTCCTGCGTTTGCTGACATGCTGCAATGCAGATAATGGAAATCACATTATTCTGCATCATGCCCATCACATCAATGCAACATGGTGCAGTGTGATTTTTGAAAAGGTGAAGCATAGGGGAAGATGTACTAAAACTGGTGCACACAGAATCTGGTGCAGCTGTGCATAGTAACCAATCAGCTTCCAGGTTTTATTGTCAAAGCTTTATTGAACAAACTGAAGTTAGAAGCTGATTGGTTACTATGCACAGCTGCACCAGATTCTGTGTGCACCAGTTTTAGTAAATCTTCCCCATAGTGCGTTTTTGGTCCCTCAAACATCAATGGGAGTGCATGGAAAACGCATGTACATGCATTTTTGTTGAGTTTTGTTTTTACAGGTCTCCTTCTCCTACAAAACATGTTTGAAACAGCACAGAAAACACCTGATTATGCAGCAGCACTAATGTGAAACTGAGCTTAGATGGAAATACCCTTCACTTTGTGGAGAGATCCTATTACTTCCTATTATAGGATGCATTTACTAAAGGCAAATGGATTGTGCACTTTGCAAGTGCAGTTGCAATCATTTTCCTTGGTAAATGTAAATGAGGTAAAGCTTCATTTAAAAAAAAAAAAAAATACCCATATGCAAAGATAATTTTAAAAACACAGCGTTTTGCTTGCACATGATTGGATGATGGAAATCAGCAATGGTTTACCACATTTTGTTACCTCTGGGGGGATACGAGTGCACCGTCTGTTTGCCTTTAGTAAATTCACCTATGTCTCTGGAATAGGAAGTGAAATCCCTCCAGCTGGACAAAGGCAGTCAAAAAAATAAACTGATAAGAGTTTTACTGTTCCCCATTTGGCTAAGGAATTTTTTTTTTTTTTTTTGCATTATTGGCTACTAAAATTGTTCCTTACCCTGTGATTCATTTTGTTGGCTTACTTTAAAGTGTGTGTGAACCCCAAATCTAGTTTTCTATCTGTTTGGCATTATGCCTAACTGTATACAGTTTTCTTAAAGTGATCTCCAACCGACCCCCATTTTTTTTTTTTTTTTTCTTTTTTACCCCCACTTACCTGATGGTGATATCTCCATATTTCAGTGTAGCCCCACAGTGCCACCTGTCAGTGCCCATTAGTGCACATCAATGCCACATATCAGTGCCCATCTGAGCTGCCTTTCAGTGCCACCTGTCAGTGCCGCCTATCAGTGCCATATGAGTGCTGCCTTTCAGTACCCGTCAGTGATGCCTGTCAATGCCCATCAGTGCCACCTACTAGTGCCTCCTCATCAGTGCCCATCACTGCAGCCTCATTAGCGCACATCAGTGAAGGAGAAAAATTACTCCTTTACAAAATTTTATAACAAACTAAAAAACTTTTTTTTTTTTTTTTTTTTTTTTCAAAATTTTCAGTTTTTGGTTTGTTTAGCAAAAAATAAAAAATCCCAGAGGTGATTAAATACCACCAAAAGAAAGCTCTATCTGTCTCAAAAAATGATTTATTAGTCAAAAGTGCGACAGCGCTGAAAGCTGAAAATTGGCTTGGGCAGGAATGGGGTGAAAGTGCCCTGTAGACAAGTGATTAAGTAATTTTTGTGAGTCTGCTGCAAATGTAAGAACCTGTAGATTCTGTTAGTGACCGCACTTCCTGTCGCAGGCTGACAACATTAAGACACGGCCTCTCTACTAGCAGCAGTATTGACAATCTGCAAGCTGCTTACTTGGTTATTGGGCTTTTAATCTAAAAAGCAGCCCAATGGCCAACTGAAGGAGCTTGCAAGACAGACTGACAACATTGCTGCTAATTGTGAGGCAGTGGCTTTGTGTTGTCAGCCTGGAACAGGAAGTGCTTTACCAACAAGATCTTCAACAAAAAATATTTTTTTCTTTTTCCATGTTGAAAACATTTCTCACAAAGACACGTATAATGATTCTGTATGGAATTGCTAAATCTTTAATATTTAAAGGGATTTGTTGCTGTTCAGCAGCATTTTGTATTGACGGCAAAATTGCTGGTGACCATAATTTTTAATGCACCTCTAAGGAATGTTGCTCAGATCAATGAAGCAGCGCCATAGCAGGATTGTCAGCAATTCTTGCAAATATATATCACTAGCCGCATCATTAGCATTGGTGATTTGTAGTAGCCATTAGTCTTTGCTACAACTATACTATACCTAACTACCCCCCCCTGACACAAAAATGTAATAGATTGCAGTTCATGGCTATGGTGGCTGCATTTGTTTTCATTCTGCAGGCATTTTTTCTGACTGTGAACATTTTTAGCAAGTACAGAAAATACCCGTTGATCTTGCCAGAACTGACGTGTCCTTGTCACTTCCTTTAGGTGCACTGAAGGAAAATAGTTATCTTTTTCTATGTAATCTACTAATCCCATCATCCAACGTGTAATAGAGATCCACAAAAGCAAACCTGTATGTAGTCCAGCCTGGGAGGCAACCTCCCTCCATAGATACAGTAGAGGCGTGACCGTCTACTCAGGGACAGAAAGTGTGATATTTGCAGAATTACTAGATAGAAAATAAAAAGCAAAAAAAATTGAAAAAAGAAAATGAATGCAACCACCACACTAAGGACTGGTAATCTGGAATATATTAAAAAAAAATTTTCACACCTATGTGCGCATGTTGGCAGATATGTTTTTGTGCAACCTGTGCCCTATCCAGGGGCGGACTGGCCGAGGGCCTAGGGTCAGTAGGGGGCCCCATGAGATGCCCCTGGTACCTTTTTCATAGGCTTTTTTGGGTGTGGTTTGAGTGTGGGTGAAGACACGGGGGCCCCATGATTTCCTATTGCCCGTGGGCCCCTATGAGTTGTCAGTCCGCCCCTGGCCCTATCATTTTCCTTTTGGGTCTTCAACAAGTGCTACTGCACCAGAAAAATGCACCTTATGGGTCTTGCTCCTCCCCAGTCTGTGAAAGGAGAAGCAGCAGACTGATGAGCTTCTTCCTCTGTCACTCTTCTCTCTCCTATCAGCATTTTCCTTGTTCGCACATTCCTACTCAAGACTGTACAGTGGATTGCAAGAGAGAGAGAATCTGAATTTCAAAACGAATCCAGAATAGTATGTGTGTAAACCAGGGTGGCTCCATGCACACCTGGGTGTTTTGCGATCACAGAATCACTGTGTCGCAAAAACGCAGGTTCAGGTGCCATTATTTTCAATAATGTGGTTTTGCCATGACTGTTGCATTTCATGAAATCCTGGGAGCTGACAACCCATACTATGCTAAAAAAAAAAACCTGGCTCCTAACTCTTTTTTTTTTTTTTTGTAGATGGCTTCTAGATTCAAAACAAATGTGTCAAGCCCTGAGTTAGAGTACTGATGGGATTGGCAAGCTCCTGCATACCAAAGCATTTGGGGGAGGAGGGGGAGTTCTTTTTAGCTCTGCAATGCCGGATGTTCAAGACTTCATGTGAAAATGATCACTATCTCAGAGAACCTGTTGAGCAAGTTCTCAGGACTCAACGCTGATGCAGTGTGGATTTCCCTGTTCTAGACAAAATTGCAGTCTTATAAGAAATGAACTATGGTTGCAAAATTAATGGTATCTCTTTGGTTCAGATAGACGCTCAAGTCTGGTCATTGGTTGCCTATTGGTCACCGGAGTGCAGCTTGTTCCTGTACTTGGCCTAGTCCTGCTTGGTTGCAGGTGACCGCAACGGTTGTTGTTGAGGCTGGTGCTATGTTCTCTGTAGAGAATAAGTCCTCAATCCTGCCAGAGTTTGTAGGGCTCAACAAGCAGTAGGACAAAACTCTTCTTAGTCTCTGGATCCTATGTGAAATAGGGACACTACTGCTTATAGATCAACCAGCATATGGGGAAATGTTTCAGGAGTCCAAAAATGATTTAGAATTTAAATGTAATCTACTGTATTGTTCCAACCATTTATCTATACAGGTGACTGGATCCCTTTAAGGCTAGATTCACACAGCTGCGGTCTTTGAAAAGCAATCTGTGGTGGTAGAGCAGGCATTACGCCCGATTGACTTTTTTTTTTTAGCCATTGCGCCACAACATTGAGTTACAGTCCAGTCCTATTGACCAAGTTAAATTTGCTGCAGCCACATTGCATGTGTATGATACACCCTGGCTGCCTTGTTAGGCTTACAGTGCGTGGTCAAGAGGTGGCAAATACGTGGCCGAACCACCTATTTTTACTATCTGTGTGAACGAGGCCTGGTCATGGACATTAGGCAGTGGTCATGACCGTCTGAAAAACTTAACATGCTTTTTGGTTTAAGCTGGAGTAGGGAATACTTGGAATCCACAAAAAGGTTTTACTGCACTTGGTGTCCGCACCCTTCCTGTCCTGGTGACACCCTGTCAAAGCTTGCCACATAGGCTGTCACTAGGGCTTTGCAATAGGGGGACAGGAGCATTGACTTGAAGTTGGCTTCCTTCTGAACTGTTGTTGACCTAATTCAAACAGGTTTTGCATTTCCATAGACTTTGTATAGGAATGCAAAACCCAACTGGCACAAACAATAACCCTGAACCTGACCCGTTCTAACTCTTCTCCATTTCCCAATCATTTCTTGGTGTCCCCTCAATTACTGTTCTGATGACTATAGTATACATGGTGTCATGAAATTCCCCAATGTGGCCATTCACAGCAACATAAAGCTGACTGAGGCTCAAGGAACCACTAGCAACCTCTGGGGGAACCCTAGGTTTTCATGGGACCTAGGTTGAGAAGGGCTGTATTTTATTTATTTATTTAGCCATTGCGCCCACAACATTGGGTTACGGTCCGGTCCCATTGACCAAGTTAAATTTGCCGCAGCCACATTGCATTTGTACGATACACTCTGGCTACCTTGTTAGGCTTACATTGGGTGGTCAACAGGTGGTAAATACGTGGTCGAACCACCTATTTTTACGATCTATGTGAACGAGGCCTAAAGTAGTCATGGTCATTAGGCAGTGGTCACAACCGTCTGAAAACTGAACATGCTTTTTGGTTTAAGCTGGAGTAGGGAATACTTGGAACCCCCAAAAAGGTTTTTTCTGCACTTGGTGTCCCTTCACTTCCTGCCCTGGTGACACCCTGTCAAAGCTTGCCACATAGGCTGTTACTAGGACGTCACAATAGGGAGACACAGGAGCATTGACTTGAAGTTGGCCTCCTTCTGAACTATTGACCTAATTCAAGCTGGTTTTGCATTTCCATAGACTTTGTATAGGAATGCAAAACCCAACTGGCACAAACAATGACCCTGAACCTGACCCATTCTAACTTCTCCATTTCCCAATCATTTCTTGGTGTCCCCTCAATTACTGTTCTGCTGACTCTATAGTACACATGGTGTCCTGAAATTCCACAATGCGGCCATTGACAGCAACATAAAGCTGACTGAGGCTCAAGGAACCGCTAGCAACCTCTGGGGGGGGGGAACCCTAGGTTTTCACGAAACCTAGGTTGAGAAGGGCTGTTTTATTAAAAACCATTGAATTTTGGCGTTTGTAATAGTTCATCACCCTTTTACCTCTTGTCTTTGCAGCATGTGAGCATAATAGTTGTATTGGTAAATGTATGACAGTGACTTTATCTAAATCCGCCTTTTGTAGGATACCACGCCTTGGACTGACAGACCTTTTCCATTGTGCTTTTGTTAGCGTCCATCTCTCTGTTCAGCATGACAGTGACTATGAGTCATTCTGAGAAAATGTGCAGTGGGGTAGAGGATTGCCGAGAGTAGTTGACTGTCACAAAGCCAAGCAGCCATTCACATATTCAGGCCAGAAAAGCGTCTGAAAGGCCCGTGACAACTGTACAGTTTTGTAAGAAATCCCCGTGCTCCAGCTTTGCCAAGTTTTTTACATCCATTTGAATTTGGCATAAACCGAGGCCTAAAAAGGGAATTTACCCAAAGATTATCCCTAATCCCTGTTCTGCCTCTAAAGGGTTACATTGGAACTTCAAACAAAACTTTTTTGTTTTTGTGAAAGAATGGGGAAGGTTACATCATTTAGGTATATTGCTGTTTGATATCTTTTTACTTCCTATCTCCGTGATCATGGCCTTTGGAATTGGAAATGTGGGGAGATCTCCATAATTGCTTTAACACTTTCTAGTAAAATCTAGTTTTAGTAAAGTTTTTAGTACACACAATCAGAAAATCATACGAAAAAAAAAATACCGTTTTCGAAGCGATCGTATGATAATCTGACCATTCGTTCACAGCTTTTATTATTATTATTTGAAGGGACAAGCACGGAAATTTCTCGTACAATACCAATATCAGATTTTTCATTTAATCAGTTAGGTTTTCGTCCAAAAAGACAGTACAAATACATGACATCACTATCAAATTTTCTTTGTCGTACAAGAATTTTACTGTGTCTTCATTGAAAATATCGACAATAACTTTTGCCAACTGTTTTGCTGTGCAAACTTTTGTCGGTTAACTGAACATACAACTGGATTATACA